TGATAGGTCATCCTGCAGATTTTTATGAAGGGCAAAAATAGTTTTATACATCAGACTGCTAATGTTTTCATTTCAACACTGAAACTTGGTGTGTTAACATGGGAGTCTATGAGGATTTACCCAATTTTGGATCCAGCCTCAAGTGGCCACTGGAGGAACTGCAGTTTCCAGCATTTCAAGCTTTCAGACTGCTTTGTTTGGACAGGAAACAAATCTTTGTGCTGCTTTTGTTTTATCTCTTCAAGACAATAAGTCACTAAGAGCAGGAAATCACTGGCAGTCTCTTAAATTACTGTGTATGAATAAAGGTAAATATTTGCTCAGGGATCAAAGTCAATAAGAAGGAATGTCTCCACAAAACTTTGTGTACAACTTTAAGAACCGCACCCATATACTGGTTTACTGCTGCAGAGGTTTGTAATGTCTGATCCTGAGCGCTCAGGCACACCACTAAGAACCCATCTAGTAGTCCAAGTGCAAAGAGAGTACTTCCTGTCAGGGTGTGACACACAACACAAAAGAACCTCTGTCCCCACAGTGCAGCCCTGACCAGGAATATCACTCCCTGCTTTTCTGTTTGGAAGATACAGAACAGGGTACATAAAGCTCTAACTCTCTCTGTGTGTGTGTGAGTGTTTTTCCTTGATCTTCTTTGACCTTTGACCTTGACTTTTACTGAAAACAGGAACATTTTCTGTGTGTCTTTGTCTTCCTGTGTTCAGATTACAATAACAGCGGTCACAGTTTGTTATGGTGTTGAGCGGCCTCCCAAATACACAATTATAATTATGCAAGATGCAGTTCTACAAACAGATTTGTTCTTAAGTGGCACCTAGGAGGAGTTCTTTAGAAACCGTGGCTTTCACTAGCTTTTCTGCTGCTAACATAATCCACAAGCAAATTCATGAACAGATAGGTTTCATTTTGTGGTGCAAAGGGCACAGCGCTCTAATTTGCTGTAAACTCTAATATTCTGTAGTCAGATATGAAAACCTGGTCCGGCTGTCTTAGCTAATTATAGGCCAATTTCCAACCTTCCACTTATTTCAAAAACTCTTGAAAGAGCTGTTTTAAAACAGCTGAATGATCATGTGTAGATGAATTGCCTACTTGATGTGTTTCAATACGGTTTCATCATAGCACAGAAACAGCATTGGTAAAGCTTAGGAATAACCTTCCTATGGCCTCTGATGGTAGACTCATCTGTGTGCTTGTCCTGTTGAATCTCATTGCAGTATTCAGTGCTGCCGATCATATTACTGCAGAGAGCAGAACACACTGTTACTATCAAAGGAAATGCGGTGCAATTCTTTGAATCATACCTATCTGATAGACTCCAGTTTGTTCATGTAAATGATGAGTCTTCTTCACACATGAAAGTTGGTCAGAGAGTACCACAGGGCTCTGTGCTAGGTCAAGCACTTTTTACTTAATATATGCTTTCCTTAGGCAATCTCAAAAGAAAACACTACATAAATAATGAGGCTCCATCTTATCTTAAAGACCTTATAGTACTGTGTGAGCCCAATAGAGCACATCACTCTCAGTCTGCAGGCTTACTTGTGGCTCCTAGGGTATTTAAAAGTAGCAGAGTCTTCTGTTATCAGACGTCTCTACTGTGGAACCAGCTCCCAGTTTGGATTCTACAGACAGACAGCCTCTTTACTTTTAAGATTAGGCTTAAAACTTTCTTTTTTGATAAAGCTTATAGTTAGAGCTGGGTCAGGTGACCTCAAACCATCCCTTAGTTACACTGCTATTGGCTCAGACTGCTGCGTGACTTCACGTGGATGCACTGTCAGGCACTGAGCACTTAGTCTCCACTCACCTCTTTTCACTCCCACGTGTTTATACACCATTGCAGCATGTCATTATATTTGTCCTTTCTCTCCTTTAGTCTGTGTTTTGACCTTTCTCCCTCTTCATTTTTTTTCCTTTTCTTTTCTCTTCTTGTCTTTCCCCTCAACCCCCAACCAGCCTGAGCAGATGAGCCTCGTTCTTCCTGCTAAAAGGGAGTTTTGCCTTCCCACCATCACAAAGTGCTTGCTTATAGGGGGTTGTTTGATTCTTGGGATTTTTCTCCAGAATACAGTAGGGTGTTTACCTCACAATATAAAGCACCCTGATTTGCGGCTATATAAATAAACCTGAATTGAATCATCAGTCTGAGAGAAGCAGTTCATTACAAGTTTGCCCAGTTTGACGAAGTGGGGCCACGTACATGAACAAGCCTCATAAGGAGAAAAAAAAGAAGCATTATAGTTTAACATTTGCACCTGTACCAACATCTGCCTCATGCAAGCAAGGATGGTTGTTTGAAATATGAGTTGAGCAAATATTTGTGCAGTGTGCACACTTTGCTATTGTAAGCCCACATTTACATCACATCTGATACCGAAAAGCATTTTGCCATAGCTGAACTTTACTTCCACAACACCCAGTGGAAACTGCTGCCAGCCACTTTTACTTACTAAAGAGTCAACCACATTTCACCTTGACCATTCAACCAGACTCTGTGTGGACTGACACATAAATATTTGCCTGTGACTAATTTTAGAAACAGTTTGTGTTGAGATGCACTTTGGGGCAGGTCGGTGGGTGAGAGTGCAAAGTCACTTTTCTGACCATTCAACCTTTGAGCCTTCTGACAGCCTGTCACGTTTTAAGTGTATGCTGTGTTGCAGATGATCAGTTTGGACTTCAAAATTCCTGTGTTTCATGTATTTCACATCTATTAACTATACCTTGTCTTATCCTGGACAGGGTAGTGAGGGGCTGGAGCCTATCCAAGCTGACAATGGATAAAATCCTGAGCAGGGTGCCCGGCCAGAAATCAGACCATGATCAAACTCTAAACCCATTTGGAATCACTTAACGTGCACGTCTTTGGTATGTGAGACGATGCTGAGAAAACTGACACTCAGAGGCATCAGCTGCACCGCCATGCAGTCCCATTGCATCGGTCTTACTCTCTTTTTATAATACAAATTTTCAATTTGTAGGCTGATTAAAGCAGATTAAAGGATGCAAATGTGAACAAATAAAATTTTCCATCCATTCATTCATCCACCACTTGCCAAACCAGGGTCACCGGGAACACCCTTGATAAGGTTAAAACAGAGAGAGACACAGAATAACCATCAACATACAAGATTTATAGAAACTGACAGTGTCCTTCATGAGCACAAGAATTCTCTGATTCGTTTTTTTTTTGTACTATTTTTTTCTCAAAATCCAAATTCTTCCTTTTCCCCCCTTCATGTCTCATTTTACTGCTCCTCCCAGCTAATTACCAAAATGATTTACATACTGTGGCTTCAGTGATCTGAGAGAGATGATGAGCGGTAACCCAACTTAACCGTTAAAAAAAAAGTTCCTCTTGAGTGATGTCACATGCACTATGTTTTTCCACTGTCTGTGCAGCCTTCTGCTTAATTTAATATGCTAGGCGTGAGCATGACTATGCAAAATCATTGTGGAACTGTAGGAGTCACTGGCCAGTGGATCAATCTCTTCTCTCAAAATGTAGCTACGGAGTCTGAAAGAGAAGTGAGGACCACACCCAGATACCACGGGCATGGTTAACACAACTATTGCTGTGCATCCTGCTTGGAAAACATCAGGCTTTGTAGTTGTACACGCGTGTGTGATCACCACCCACAGAGACAAACACCCATCATGATCATTAACATTGTCAGGTGTTGTGGGCCACCCAAGTCTCCTCTGCTTCCAGTTTCAGGAGCAGGTGTAATTCTATAACCAGTAGAAGAAGACTGAAAGCTCCTGCTGTACATCAGAGTGAGTGACAGCGGAGCTTACTCAAAGATCACTCTCTGTCCCTAATGACATGCTGCACTCCCTGCACTCCCTCCTGAGCCACATGCGTATCATCACTCTCCCCTCCAATCCGTCCTCTTCCTCTCTCTCCCTCTCATTACACACATATTTTTCTTGGCTCATTGAGACTTCAACCATATAGTCACAGTGGCGTTGAGACCTCCTCTCATTTTGTCCCGTTTGGTTTCCAGATTGTATAATGCAAAGACTAAACAAGCAGAGTTATTTGAGTGGGTTGCTGCATAATGAAGGCAGCAGACGAGCCTGCCAAGTCAACCAGCAGAGCGAGGTCGTCAGCATCCACATTTACCAAAGTACCTCATGAATTACATGGAAGAAAAAGCATGGACGAAATATATAAGTAAAGTGTCAAGCTTTATGGCTTCCAGCACACATATGTGTATCTTTTTGTGTACTTAAACGTAAATAAATGGAGTCACTGATAGATAATAAGAGTCCCATACCTGAGTTGGAACCTCAAATCTCAAAGATTAGATGCTTAGAGGACAGAATTAACTTAAATATAAGTAACAGATGGATCTTTTAAAGGGTAACAAATCTATCCAGCTCTGTTCAGTTTAATTTATATAAAGCGCTAAGTCACAACAACAGTGGCCTCACTAAATCAAAAGGTGTGGAATTCGACTTGAAGGGTCAAAAAGTATAAAACTATATCGGTAATCGGTGAATATGTTTGATATATTAAGGTGAAGAAGGAAAAAAACATGTTAATAGCAGCTGCTTATGATATTTTTGTGGCGTTTACACCTCACGCTGTAGAATAAGAGCGCTGCAGATGTGGAGACTCACACGCACCACAACAGAAACGCCCCACACTCTGTAGCGACCGCTTGAATTAATTCCTTCACAGTTCTACAGACTGAGGTGCGTTTCATTTTTATTTTCCCCCTCCTCCACCTCCTCCACGCAGACCGGGTTTGCTGGTGAATAGACCACTGACACTCCCGATTCAGCCTTTTAGTTAGATCGCAAGGTCTGGTCCCACCCATATGTGAACAGCTTTTGTCACAAGTGAAAAAAAAAGAAGTCCCTTTCACATTTTCCCTCCTTGCCTCCCTTCCTCCCTCCTCAGTCCTCCCTTCCTACCTCCTTCCCTCCCTCCCTCCCTCCTCAGCATCAAGTGCAGTGTGAGCGGAGCGACTTGTCTCTCAGCCTCTTTGAAGGAGCAATGAGGAGAAGGCAGCCATCGCCCTGCTGATAGCAGAAGGTCTGGGATGCAGTGAAGTGTTTTCCAGTTCATTTGTGTAGGTCCTGGGAAAACAAACAATAACGTTGCGGATTTGGCAGATCCATCAATCGAATGCGAGCAGGTAGGAAGCGCTATTGTGCACACTTACCCATTATTATTGTGTCCCGATGGGGAACGCAGGGAATGACTGACTTTATTCAGTTTCTTTCTTTCTTTCTTTCTTTCTTTCTTTCTTTCTTTCTTTCTTTCTTTCTTTCTTTCTTTCTTTCTTTAAAACTTATTTACATTTTTAATAGATTTTCTTTTCGTTTTACTCCGACCTGTTGATGTTTTAAAAGTTGATTTAATTGGATTAGAGTGCAAACACAAACACAAACACGGGCTTCAGTAATTTTGAGTATAATTACTATTGTTGTGCGATGTTATTCCCTTAGGGCACACTGAAATACTTTCAGTGCATTCTCAAATAGACACGTTGTCAATTTACTCTCCACGTACAGGTGATGCAGATGTGGAATTACTGAATATGTGCTAAATATGGGATTTAATTGTAGATTTATTTACATTTTAGTGTTGCCAATGAAAACACACGCCTCACATTTTTACTTTGATTTTTTAAACAGGGTTTCAATCGGGCTTTAATGTCAGATTTCTGAATCTTTTATCTCTTTACCACCTGACTGACAGAAGTGGATCTAATATTAAGAAAAAAGGCTTCAGTGAATGCTAACGCTTACTGATTTCATTATACACCATTGTGCCACAGCGCCACCCCTTGGTGACGTTTATCTCCCGGGCGCCCCCGATACTTTCCTGTGACTTCTTCCATGGAGGGAGGAAGAGGGCACAGCCTGAAATGAGGGCCTTCTGCTAAGACCGAGAGCCACCATGGCAGCATATCAGTTTCCACTCTCTGTCGAATAATTGCAGGCTTTCTCCTAGATTGTGTGTTTGTGTCTGAGTCTGGCAGCAAGAGTGTGAAGTTAAACACAAAACTAAACGTCATTTTTGTCTTCTCATTTATTGAGAGAGTTTTACAGCTCATGTGGGCTTGTAGTTTATTGCTGTCTGTTGTAGGGTGGCTAAATGATGGCCAATGGGTACGTTTTATTAGAAGATTTATGGTAAGCTGAAGCCAAAAAGTCCCAACTACAGTTATACTTACTTGAAGGACAGTGTGCTTAATGACAAGTTTATCAGCTGGAGGGTTGACTCCTTGACCAGTGAGGTTCTCTGTCTCAGCTGAGTCTCCTGGGAACTGTACCAAACCAGGCAGCATGCCTTTTTCACAACACATCAGCATCTAATTGAAAGGCAGTGTGTCTTTGGAACCCCCCACCTCCCTTGCCCCATCTTAAAGGTTTGTGTTCCAGCTGGTCTGTCATACTCAGTTTCAACCCTGTATATTTTCACCCCTGACTTCTGTTTAAAATTAACTTTTGGATTTGCACTTTTGTGCCAAATCATTCTCTCTCCTTGCATACGTGTGACTTCATCGCCACAGCCACGCTGACGAAACTGCGCTGCAGTGAAGTGACGGTCTGCTGAATCTATTAAAACGCACACAAATTGTAATTTTCTTTTTAGGTTTATCAGGGCTGTTGGCAACGTCACAGTCGTACAGTAGAAGCACGAGCCAGCAGGCTGTGTGCAGACTGCACAGTCTCAGTGTTTGATGTCATTCGTGTGCATGCAAAGAGTCGAGTGCAGCTAAGGAAACCAGATACTGTCATTACAGAAAGAGAAGGTTAACCATTGTGGCGAACCTCCAAGCCAATGTCTCAGCCCATTCGGAGGATCAGGGTTCATCTTATCCTTTTCTCTCCCCGCAGCCTCCAGCAAGATTCAGAGGATATAAATCTTTCAACCACACATCTAATGTAACAGCTCCAGAGACATGTCTGAGGAGCACAAGACTACTTTAAACTGAGTGCCATTGCTTCTAATAAAAATAAAACTGCACCAATTTGCAACCATTTTTGGCAAGCATTTAAATACATAAGTGTGATGTGCTGTCACACTGCTGTACAGCCAACTGTAGTGCTGCAGAACTGCAAGTCTGTTGGACATCTCTAATGTTTTGGGCTATATTGCCTCCCTGTGGCTGTATTGGGACTGTGCATATTGTGATCCAGGGGTCTTAACATTGGACCTTTTCATTCCAGGGAAATCAGAGTGTTCCTATATTCTGAACATACTTAATTATTAGTGTTTGGGGGGAAAAATCCCTGGCAAACAGTACAAAAAGTGTTGAGACATTTCACTTTAAAACCACAAACATGAACCTTGGGGTGACCAAAGTTATTGTGGTTCATAATTTGGGGAACCACCAACTTTAAATTGTTATGCTAATTCATGTTGTGGATGTTTAGATATTACAATTAATAAATGGGAAATTTTGACAGTTTGTAGTCCTACATGAAAAGCCAAGGCATTGCCAGTGTCATTATGGTTAAGCATCTGGGAACCATGGATCTCTGCACTAATATTTATGGGAAACCATCCAATAGGTTTCAGCCTTCTTAAGTTGAAGCTCAGGACGACTAGCAGGGAATCGCTAGTCAGTGGAATATGTCCTCCATGCACTACAATGGCATGTAAAAAAATTGCATGGCAAATGATCTCCTGATATTGAGGTGTTTTAGTCTGAACCAACCAAAATTCATTCTGTCCAATAGTTCTCAGAGGAACAACCTGTTGGCTACAGCTAGAGGATTATTATGATTTGTCAAATCAGGATGACTAATGGTCTCTTTTTTTTTAGCGTGTCCATGTCGTGAATGCTTATATATTTCAGGAAAAGGGGGAAATGTTGACAAATTTGTGGTCCTACATGAAAAGCTTGTCATTGCAAGCATCTTTATGGTTCACCCTCTGGGGAACACAGATGACTAAAGATTACACCAACCTTAACCTCCTAAGACCCGAACTCTTACATGGCATGCATTTTTTAATTTCCCTTTGATATTTGGGCTGATTGGGACCTGATGAATATAAAAACAAAGAATTACCAGATTTTTTTTTGTCTAATTTTTGTTTCTGAGAAAAATGAGAGCCACATATGAGGATATTCATTTGAAATTTCGATAGAACAGTTGCAATATAATGTCCTCGTAAGTGGATATCAGGCCCTTGTTGAGCAAGATTTAGTATTTTGGTCTAAATGACCCAAAATGTGATGTCCACATATGTGGACGCCAGGTCCTAGGAGGCTAAGTGTCACCCTCACGATGGTGTGAGTGTCTGCTAGAGAAAAACTAAGAGAGTCACCAGAGTCAGCAGTGTACATCCTGTTGAGAATATGTGCAGAGAGTTTTATGGCAATTGTTCTTTTGGTGTTTTGATATTAGCGAAGGATTAAATGGGCAAGATTTATGGGAATCCATCCAACAGTTCACACTTGTGGTAATGCTAGCAGGTGACAAAGGAAAAGGCAGGATGTCATCAAAGTCAGTAGGATATATCCTCTATGCCATAAATATATTTATGCCATAAATATATTTATGCCATAAATATATGGCAAATTATGTACTGATGTTGAGCTATTTTAGCATAGAGTTTTAAGAGTGGAGTGAGCAACCATCAGTGCTACAATTAGTATCATGTGTGGCTAAAGAAAGTATAATAATAATAATAATTCGCTCATATGTTCTTATTTTTCAGAGCCAGGCCCAACTTAACAATGGGCCACATATCCTTATGTGTCCTGGTCCCAATGACAGTGCTGGCTGTGGTGGCTGTAGCTGCTGTAGATGATGAGTACACCTGGCCGCAGTGGAAAGTTCCTCTGGTGAGGAAAAGACGTACTGTGCCTCTCAGCAGCCCAAGCTTCTCAGCTCATCCACAGCCAGAGCTAAGTGGGACTTGTGGGATCGAGTGCCAGCGTCGCCTTCCTTCACCTTCCCTGGAAGACTTGGAGCAGTTCTTGTCTTACGAGACAGTCTACGAAAATGGCACACGCACGTTTACTTCCATTTCTGTGCAGGGTCTCAACGAGATGACTGCATGGTCCAGAAATGCCTCGTCTAGCTCTCGCCACAAACGAGAGGTGTATGGCACAGATACCCGCTTCACCATCGCTGATAAGCAGTTCTCTACCAAATATCCGTTTTCCACCTCTGTGAAGGTGTCCACAGGCTGTTCTGGGGTTCTGGTATCCCCTAAACATGTGCTGACTGCTGCCCACTGCATCCATGATGGAAAGGATTATCTAGATGGAGCGCAGAAACTACGTGTCGGGATTCTGAAGGAGAAATCCAGGCGAGGGAAAGGAGGCAGAGAGAGAGGAGGACGACGAAAAGGTAGAAGAAGAAAGGGAGACACAGCTCAAGAAGACGGACAGGAAAAGGATGAGAATGGCGGTAAAGGGAGGGGAAAAGGGAAAAGTAGGAAGAACCGGAATAGGCGAAGTGTGGAATCTGAGAAACCATCATTTAGGTGGACAAAAGTCAAAAAGACCCAGGTTCCTAAGGGTTGGTTCAAAGGCGTGTCGGGTGGACTGGCTGCGGATTACGACTATGCTGTTCTGGAGCTGAAGAAATCCTCAAAAGTCAAGCACATGGAACTGGGTGTGATCTCCTCAGTCAAGAAGCTTCCTGCTGGGAGGATCCACTTCTCCGGCTTCGATGATGACCGACCTGGTAACTTGGTGTACCGGTTCTGCTCCGTGTCTGAGGAATCCAGTGATTTGTTGTACCAATACTGCGATGCCAAACCTGGCTCCAGTGGCTCTGGGGTCTACATCCGCCTCAAAGAACCAGGCAAGAAGAAGTGGAAGAGAAAGATCATTGGAGTCTTCTCCGGTCACCAGTGGGTGGATGTTAATGGGGACGGGACGCAGCAGGATTACAACGTGGCAGTGAGGATAACACCCCTGAAATATGCTCAGATCTGCAACTGGGTCCATGGGGACTCAAGCGCGTGCCAGGTAGCCTAAAAAACACAGGATCCCCCCAACCTACACACTCCTCGTTTTTAATCATCAATCAGGGGCCCAACAACTGCCTTCCTGTGACCTCCTGTGCCTCCCAGTGGCTCCTGCTACACTGGTCCACACACACACACACACACACACACACACACACACACACACACACACACACACAGCCATTCAGACTCTGTGTTGACGAGAGAAACTCGTCAGCGCATCAGAACTGTGGCTCTTCAGCTTTTCTAATTTATTTGCTAAAAAGAAAAAAAAACAACTGAGAAAAATCATATATATTATATGTATTTTTCAGATCATTCTGATCTGCTGTTTCTAATTTGACCTTTTTTTTTTTTAAAGATATGACCTCTTTGGAAGGTTGAAAAGTGTGTATATTATATTATCCCTGGTACATTTATTCCCTGTATGAAAAGACTGCACTACAAGTCTTCTCCACTAGTGCGCATCAAGTTTGACAAAAGACCCAGGAAAAATTTTTGTAACTCTTGTTTCGCAATTGAACTATATGGAGATATGGAAATAACTTTTTTATAAACATTTTTAATTGAACATGTTCCACTGTGTGTATCTATCTTGTTTTTTTGTTTTGTTTTTTCAAACTACCTTTTGAAGACAAATCGTCTGTCTAAATAGAGAAAGGGTCCTTATAGAAAATAGGTTTTTTTTCTCTGTGAGTCTTGCAATCTTTTTCTCTGTTCTTGCAACACAGTGAAATGTGGTTTCATTATTGTGAACATAACTGTGTTGGTGCTTATCCAGAAGATGTGGTGCTAATTTATGAAAAAGTAGAAGGCTTTTAAAAGATGTTTTGTTAGCCACATACTGTAACTATATATTTAATGTGAGGCTACAGATTTGGGTTGCATTAAGATGGACCCGAACAATCCAACAATTTACTTGAGCTGCATATATTTTTCCAAATCTAAAGGATATTGGATTTGCTATAATGCTATAATATTGTTGTGTAATGGAAGGTTTTAAATGTGGATTTTTGGGGGGGGGATTTTTTTTTTTTTAGATTTTCATGTTGCTTATATTCAAAAAGTTCATGAGTATCCTTTTGAAGACCAAATACCTGACATTAAAGATGCAGATTGAAAACTACCAAACATTAAATCAAGTTTACTACCTGTGTGTATATGTGTGTTTTCAATTACGTACATTCAACCACAGCGATCTATAAAATATCTAAACCATTAAAGAACACCGCCGGCTTTGAAACCCGCAGCTAGTGATGACATATTTAACCAAGTATAATGTAAAAGCAAACTTTAAAAGTGCTTTCATCATTTAAATTAAGAAAACCGATCAGTTGCACACAGTTTATTAGATGTTTAATCCATAAAATTTAAATTAAATTACGAAAAACTTCTCCAGAGTAGCTTTATATCAACTGTGAAGTATAGCTATGGAAATGTGATAGTTTGATGCGACCATGCAGCTTGATATCATTGATTAAGCTCTGAATTCTGCTTCATATGAACCTTTAAACAGGATTACAACCTTAAGCACTTTAGCAAATCTACTGAGACAATAAAAAAGAAGAAACAGAGTGTTATGGGATCAAGATTATAAGAACAGATGTGAATCACTCTAGTGGGATTTAAAAACTGGCAGCACATGCAAAAAAGTTATTTTTTTCATGGAAGAACAGGGATGAAGAAAATTCTCTCAGATGTATGGGGTTGCACTGGCTTCTCCAGTCAAAGGTAAACTTAGTTTATCCACAGACTAATGTGGAGAACCTTACAGATTAATAGGTTTTTATTGCGTAAATGATTGAAAAAGCTGAAATTTTTTAAACTGTGAAAATGACACATTTCACATTGGATCTGTTTTCTTGTTTAAAAAAATTGCAGAAAAGTATTCAATTAAATTTGGACACTGTGGAGTTTAGTTTCTGAATGAGTAAAGGAAAAAAATTTTTTTTTATCAACATATGGCTTAGAGAAATAAAGTTAAATTAAAAAAAGACAAAACAATTGAGCAAAAAACAAAAACAAAAAACAGCACAAAAAATGACTTGCTGATATCACTCCATCGTTTCATACAAATATGGTCACTTCTGGCTAAGACATAAGACAAAAATGCCAGCAAACAAAATACTAACACTGAAGCATTCATGCTCAGAATGAAATCATAATAGTCAGTACAGACTACACATGCTTCGTTCTACACCCAGACTGTACAACCCCACATCTAGATTGGAATAACTGGGAAGAGACACCGGCCTAGGATGTGTGTTTCTTGATTATTTTGTGATCATTTCAAATTTTGACATACACATGTTTTTCAACTCTACTCTTTTAGACCTCTTTTGGAGGACAGAGCCACAGCAAAAGACAGTTATAAGAAAAAAACCTATAATGTAGCGTTTTCATGTGGTGAAACTGAAATAAAAGCAGTCATTTTGGAGCCAGACAGTTCAATCCATCATTGAATTTATTGCATCTCAAAGGGCTTACATGCACATGGGGAGGGCCATTGTAAATAAAATAAATTTACAACTAAACAAAAATACAATTTTCATAATTTAGTCATGAAAAATGTTAATAATCTCCCATTATTTTCTCTGAATCACATCTGATTCACACAACCAATCCACTAAGAGGACAACACACAGAGTAAGCTTGATAACTGTCTGTAGTTTACAGCACAGGAGAGGGGGACCGGTGTTAAACAATGTCCAAACATATGCATATGTCAACACTGAAAACATACACATTTCAATGTAAGTAAGCAGGAACAGAAGTGCTTTGGGTAACACGTTCAGAAGGTTCGACAGTGACCTCCTGTGGGTTTCTCTACACACTGTTCCTCATGTGGCCACATACAGAATTACATACAGTTCCACTAAAAATTGGCCGATCGTCAGTACTGATCATATGAAGAACTCAAACGCAGTGTTCAGACAGCAGCAGGATCGGATTTTTTTCTTCACATTATAACTTGGCCACGTTTGCTCAGTGGGTGCATACTGCTAGATAACACTGAAGTTAAAGGTACCATGTGGAGTTTTCCACTGCTAACAGGAGTAAGGTTTTGATGAGGAGGTGTAAACACTGTACATTTCAAAGGTTTTTCTTTACATGAAGTAAATGCTTCGTATTCATAACCATAATCAACGGATCGGGGATACTTAAACAGCTTTCTTTGGTGTGAAATACTGAATGCAAGCAGAATATCGTATGCAAACTCCATAACGTACCTTTAACCCGCACCCAAGTCAGTGATGGGATTTTCTAGTTGTTGCTAGGTTACCATGTTGATTAACTGCTGTTCTTAGAAATGACTCAATATAAATTTCAATCCTTAAATCAACTGGATGTCAGATTGATTAATTTGGGCTGGCTGAACACAGGGTTTGGTATGGCATTGCTATTGAGAAAGTCTGAAAGAAAGAACAGGCACCAGACATTCCCCGTGTGAGAAGTGTCAAAAGCAGACTTACGTAGACAGTTAGACAGGAATAGTCTGAATTTACCTCCGTGCTGAAGAAGTACATTTTAAGATATGTCCTGTAATAGCAATACCAGCAAATATCAGTAGCAGTATGGAGGATTATTCTAAAACAAAGAGAACATATACAAATGAATAACATAAAACAAAAACACAAAAGAAGAAATGTAGAAAAATAAGCCACCAGTTAAAAACAAGAGAAACAAACAAAAGGATCACTTGCTGGTCTTGTATGACTCAGAAGCCCATAGAAGAGGTTTCTAAATACACAGTATATTAATCATGTAGCGGTAGTCATATTTGCTTCCAAATAGTGTTGAAAGATGATGGTAAATAGAAGGATACTCACACCACTTCTTACAACTTCATGTCTGACTCACATTTATATTTCTCTTCAACACACGTACAGAATAGAGACGAAATCCTCGCCCGGAGAAATCTATGTACATCAAAGAGGACCTTTCTGTAAACAACACACAGCATGTTTCTCAGAAAAATCTCCCGGGGCTTTGTTTGTTTTTCCCACTCTCATCCAATCAGAGCGGGACAAAAGGAGAGCCCCTCCCCCTTTACAAGGAGGTACGGACAAAGAAAGGGGTGGAGACAAATAAGGGGAGGAGCTCAGGACACCAAAGCACATCCATCATTCGACTTAGTACTAGAAATGAATCCGAACACGTACGCCTTCGCTTTCTCGCGCTTAATTTTTTTTTTTAAGTGATTTTGTTTAGACAAAAGTTTGGTACATCGACATAAGCACACGCTTTTATTTTTTTCTCGTATATTTATATGTAATCCGCTATGGTTCACTTTCACAGTTTGTGCTACAACATCACACAGGAGAAGGGCTGGGCTGGAGTAGGGTGGAGAAAAGAGGCTCTTAATAAGGTTGAATAGCTGAACATCGCTGGTGTTCTGAGATGTTGACAGACACCAGGTAAAAAGGTGAGGGGGCTCTCATCCAAAGAGGGAAGCAGCTGGAAGACAGGAAATAGAGAGCATTTTTAATATAAAAGTCATTTTGTTCTGGAGGCAAATGAAAAGGTCTGTACTGGAAGCTGACTGTGAGTTTTGTTTTGCAAAGCGATGATCTGAAACCAGCTGATTTTCATGTTTCTTATATTCAAGAAGTTCATGAGTATCCTTTTGAAGACCAAATACCTGACATTAAAGATGCAGATTGAAAACTACCAAACATTAAATCAAGTTTACTACCTGTGTGTATATCTGTGTTTTCAATTACGTACATTCAACCACAGCAATCTATAAAATATCTAAACCATTAAACAACACCGCCGGCTTAGAAACCCGCAGCTAGTGATGACATATTTAACCAAGTATAATGTAAAATCAAACTTTAGAAGTGCTTTCATCATTTAAATTAAGAAAACTGATCAGTTGCACACAGTTTATTAGATGTTTAATCCATAAAATTAAAATTCAATTAGGAAAAACTTCTCCAGAGTAGCCTCATATCAACTGTGAAGCATAGCTATGGAAATGTAATAGTTTGATGCGGTTTTGTTGCTTTGTGGACCGTGCAGCTTGATATCATTGATTAAGCTCTGAATTCTGCATCATATGAACCTTTAAACAGGATTACAACCTTAATCACACTAGTATTAATCCTAGCTGAAGACGCTCAATTCCACCTGGGTTTTATTTAACCCAAAGCTCATTCTTAGTCATTTTATTTTTGTGGATATAAAAGCACAGAAATAAAATATTTATTTAACTTCAGCTAAAAGCAGAAAAAAACCCTGAAGATGCTGTATATGGCTTTATTGTTTGTTGATGACTTTTTAAAGCTCTGAACTCAGATTTGCAGTGGCACTGCCAAGTCACATGATTCCAACAAACGTACAACAAGAATTCTTTCATGAGCTCCCACCTGGAGCGTTATAAGAAGTCCTTGAGGTCAAGTTCTGCCAATGGGTCCTTGGGCTTCTTGGGGCTCTGGCTTGCAGGTCCTGGAGAAAGCTGGAGAAACAGGACACACAGATCTTCTTAAATTGACCACAAATATTTTAGATAAGAAGATATAACTAATTAAATTCAAAATTAAGTAACATTTTTTTAGATTGACTCCCAACATGTACTGTAGCTCATTTATGTTGTTTTACATTGTTTTTATGTGCTTTTTAATGCGTTTTTGTAGCACATTCACAGAGAAGTTTACTGGAGCTTATATACTGTACTTTATGTTGTAGTTTTGCTGTTTGCTAGGACGAAGTCCCACAGCTTTGTAATGGACAAAAAATTGTTTTCTTATTATGATTCTTAATAATATAAGCAATGCTTGTAAGGAATATCTCTATAGATCTATATGAAAACCAGAACTATTAAATTGATACATAAAAGCCAGTATAAATATACATATATATGCACAGATCACGGCACAATTAATTTACTGTCAGACAACCCAATCGATGTGTTTTTAAAAGTTTAGCCCCTGCTAACCAGCTACCTTTAGCCCTTCTCACCTAATGTTTCCATATTAGCAGACTGGTCAAGTTGCTGTTATAGCAGCTCTTTATTTCATTTAGCTATCCTGAGTTTCCCACTTAAACAAGCATGCGAAAATACAGCCTAATTTTGAGGGAAAGACTGTGATGTGTTACCGGTGCTCCTGGTGCAGCGGCTCCAGGTGCAACTCCGGCCACCCCAGTGAAGGGAGGTCTCATCATGGACTGTCCCATCATGGGCTGCATCACAGGAGCTCCAGGCCCTGCTGCAGGAGGCTGGTAAGACAAGGGAAGGACATCAGTCTTGGAGCGATACAATTCCCCAATTCCCAAAAAATGCAATAAGATAGAAAAGCAGGTCAAAGGGGTGTAGTTTTTGGATGTCTGTTTTCAAAAATATGCATTCAGTCAGTTAAACAAAGTTAAGCATAAGGAAAAAAACATTTCTTAGTTTAGAAGCTCTCTACAATCCTCAGAAAAGATTAATTATAAATTAAATTAAGCTTACCATGCCAAAGCCAGGTTGTGCACTCATTGGTGGCACCATGGCTGCACCAGGGGGAGCTGCTCCTGGCACCCCAGGAGCTCCAGGCGTGGAACCGGTCTAAAGAGAACAAACAGGTGAACATGTCACAATAACACATCTTGGTTCAGGAAGTGTCTGCACAGTGGCTGCCTAAGTGACCTGATTTTACTGTCCAGATTAAATGAAAGTACAGATTAAAAGAAATGTAGTTACTGATAAACCCGTGGCAGTACAAACGCACACTTCTAAACTTAGTTTTCAGAAAGGCTGCTTTTCATATAAAGCGTATTCTGATCCTGATGGAATGAATACTGTTCTTACCATGGGGGCTCCCGGTGTAGCCCAGCTTGTGGGGGCTACCTGTGGCATCCAGTTTGCGCCTCCTGTTAGCTTCTTCTCACTCTGTGAGTCCCTAAAGGAGTTTAAATGTAGGATACAAGTCAAGATATATGCAATTAATGTCACTTCAATCTCTGTCTTTTTGGGCCAAATGAGCAAAAAGAAAGAAAGGGTTTGCAAATCTAATGATTAACTAATTTTTATAGAATTCACACACTTACTTTTTCTTTACTCCAAGGTCTGAACAGGAAAAAGAAGGAAGAATGAGTTACCTTTCTATGTAAGAAGACAAATAATAGAACTCCATACAGGGAAAGCTACAGTTTACCTCCAACCAGGTTGGCCAGCGATGTGTCCAGATCTCCTACAATGGTTTTGGTAGCAGGAGGGGTGGCGGATGGAGCGGCTGCAATACCCCCCATTGCAACAGGAGTTCCCATGCTTCCTGCAGTGCTTCCAGTAGTGCTGCCCCCAGTGCTCTGGGGCGTTACACTAGGCATCAGCAAGTCACCTAATCCATCAAACACTTGATGGTGGGAAGGTGGGATAAAACAACATAGATTACAAACCTGTCAATCCCTACGTTAACGAACACAGAGCAGACAGTATGATGAGTGGGACAATCTGGCTGTGACAGCATAAGTATTCAGTTGTGTATCACATGCACAATGTCTGGTAATACATTTGAGGGCAAAACTGCACCAATTGAACTCACTTGGTCAGCTGCTCAACCAGTTAAGATTGTCACATCTCAGAACTTAAAAACCAGCAACATCTGGAGGACATGTTCTAAACCAGGTGTCATCAAGGCCAGCTGGTTTAATTCCAACTTACAAGAAGTACTGTATTGTTACAAGTTGGCTGTTTGTTGTGGTATATATGCATGTACAAACGATCAATTTTAATTTTATTAACAGCTTCACAGTGTATAAGCAGGCAAGCAGAAGTAACAGCTTTGGCAAAAATTGGATATAACATTTGCTCCAGAAATGCCAGTCCTCTTCAGCTGATTGTTCGGCTACAAATTCTTTGTAATATCTCATATAGACCATGCTCTGAAATTTTGTGAAAGCACAAGTCGATGAGACAGAGAAGTTCACTTCTGTCTGAGGTGAGTTGCTGAGGATATCCTGAACTTTCCTGTTTTTAAGCACTGGTGTTAGCCTTTGTTATCTGCTGTTAGCTAGTGTTAGCAGCTGTTAGCTGCTATTAGCCAGTGTTAGTGAAACTTTCTTTGAAGTGTATCTAACATTGCTGGACTCAGACATTTAGTAAATAAACTCTCATGCAATGTGACAGGGTCATCCATCTGTTTATCAGAGAGAGAAACAGTTGATAGTTTGACCTAACATTAGCTGGTACAATGTTAGCTTAACCATCTGCAGTTGCTGTTTAGCTGGCTTGTTCTCAGCTGTCCAGAGACGGGAAAGCCACATTCCTAATCTGCTGTTTTTGCATGTTTTAGAGGCTTGTCTCTTGAGTTTTCACTTCTTTGGTAAAGGAGACCCCTTCTCTTGTTTACCCTTTGACATTCTTTGGATCATGGGTAGTCGACAATGGCAAGAGACATCCAAAACTGGGATTCAAAATCTCATAGAGGTAGGTTAGCAAGGTAAATACTGAACCGTGTAGCAGAGTGGACCAAAAACACATCTACTCAGTAAACGCCATTACCGGAAGTCCCCCAGGAGACCCCTTCTCTGATGAAAAAAAAACCCCATGTGTACTATCCTTCATATCTCAAGTGTGAAGGTTCAGAAAATGTGCCTCTGTAACACACGAACACCTATGAGTTCTCATCTCTATGGCCAGTCTTGCCACATACATAACATCCTTCGACAAACCACCATCTGCTCCAGTGTATTTTTAATGTATTAATTCTAAGTTTATGAGAATGCATCAAGTTGTTGGAAAATGTAGTTGCAAACAAATCAATATATATTTATGAGTACATTTTTTAAATTAAATTAAATTAAAAAAATGACGGACTGTACCTTTAAGCTGGTATAGCCTACCCAAAGAAGCTGCCCATCTGCAAGTCACTTTGCAATCTGCCTCCACCTAGCTCCTCTTTTCCACTTTCTACTGATCTCCCTGCCTCTAGCTTTCCCTGTATGTGTGTGAAAGGGTGGGGAAGTCCTAAAACAGAGCCATACAGCAAAATATAAAAATCTTACAGGTGGAACCATTAATCTTCTTTAGTCTGTAGTGGATCTGAATGAACTGTAACTGCAGGAAGTAGACCATAACCTTTAGTCTTTGACTAATGCTTGCAGTAGGTTTAATCATACGACGCCAATCTATTAGGTTTCATCAGAGTAATGCTTTAAAAAAAAGGAAGGTTTGAAAGATGTTGCTGAAGCCTTGATGGCATGTGGTTACTCCAAGAGGCTAAAATCCAAAAGACTGAAGGGAAACGTAGATGCATTAAGGGTAAGCACCAATCGTGTCTCATGCAGGAGACAACATGCAACTTGGGAACAGCTTTGGTAAAGAAAACAGTAAGGGAGAGTTGTCCAAAGGGCATGCTGTTATCCACCGCAGGGTTTAACTCACCAGTTACAGATTAGAAGAAGCAAGCAATGACCCAGCAGAGTGGAAGGAGGGTGATGAGGGAACAAGATGTGTAAAGCAGAGGAGAAACACAGAAAGAAAGCAAGAAAATAGAAAGAAGGGAGAGTGGAGGGGTGAGTGGGGAGGTGAAGAAAGCACAGCATTTGTGAAAGTTAAAGAAGTAAAATAGAGGAGACTAAGAGAGAAAGACCAGTGCAAAAGAAGCAGCGGTGCTGAGGAATAAAGCAGTCAGCAGGAACAAGAGTTTTACGTCAGACTGTGACCCCAGCACGTCAGCGTCTCATTCATGCAGAAATCAAGCTGTCAGCAGGTAACAATAACTAGGTCAGCTGTTAAGAGTGCTCGGCTTTAATAAAGCAAACCGAGATTAATGCACATCAAGCAAGACCTGTGCAAATATCAACAAAATATTTCATAAAATTCTCTTAACTCACAAGACAATGACATCAATCACTAAAATGAAGCAACATAACAACCACTTACTTGAAGCATCAAAGCCACCAGAGGGTGCTGATGTAGTGGATGGAGGTTCTACTGCTGCTGCTGGAGCTGGAACTATTGGTACTACGGCCACTACAGCAGGTACTGGTGGAGCTGGCGAAGAAAGCGCGCCCAAGGCATCAAAACCCGTCTCTAGGAGGTCATTCTGCACCAGAGCTGGAGCCAGGGCTGGAGCGGCAGCAGGGGTGAGGGTGGGGGACATTAATCCTGAAGGATATAAACAACAGGACTGTAGAATCATACCGAGTACTGCATCAGCACAGTGAAATAAACAGGAACAGATCATCCCTCCGAAAGGAAAACAGATAAAATATTCATGTTCCAACATATCTTTAGAATTCATAGTATCATAATGTCCCAACAGAGCACTTTGCTGTCAGACTGAAGGCTGACTTGTCATTCACAGTCTCCAAATGTATAATGAGAGACAAAGCCTTCAACTATCAGATTCCTCTCCTGTGGAACAAGCTATTAGTTTATGGTTCAGAAGGCAGATACCAATCTACTTTAAAGATCAGACTTCCAACTTCCCTGTTTCATAAAACTTGGAGTTGACGCTGAATCAGGAAACCCTGAACCATCCCTTAGTTTTGCTGCTGGCCTCAGGCTGCTAGTGGGCTTTCCATGAACGGTCTCCTGTTTACACTAATCCCAACATCTGGTTGCAGGAGATGATTTCCCCTCCCTGAGCCTGGTTCTGGTGGAGGGCTCTTCCTGTTAAAAAAAGAAGCTTTCCTCCCTGCTATAGCCAAGTGCTTGGTCATAGGGATAGATCTCTCACTATTATGGTAGATCTTTACCTTCTGATGTAAAGTGCCTTGAGAAGATTGAACTGATGCTGATAATGATTTAAATAAATACCTTTTTTCTTCCACAGTTACCTGACAAAATTTATTTCTAGATGTTTCAGTTATAAAGGCATTTAGCAGTATTTAACAGCTGAAAGAAGAGAAAAAACTGTGTAATGTTGAAGCGTTGGGGTTAATGAGTTATAACAGTGTATGCTGCCAATACACTCTGCATTAGTCTTATTATGACAGTTCTGAAAGCAAGACTTTCACTTAAATTGACTATTTCTGTAATGCACTGAAACATTTACTGGGCCAGATCTGCACAGTTTTCTTTTTACAGTGACATACACAGAGCCAAATAAATGCTTGCCAAGTGTCTGGGTATCATCATCTACTTCTAAAGGTTTTGTAGTTTCAATGTAGCTAATGCACAACTGCACCTCCCAGTAGGTTCATCAACTATTCAATAAAGATCTAAATGAGATGGGCAAGACATAGCCATGATGTCATTGGGAGGTCGTGGAGGAAAGACATATTCCAAATGAGTCCTAAGTCACTCTGGAACAGCTGTGCAATTAATTCAACTAGAGCTGCCAAGTCATTACTTTATTGACGACATCTTAATCAGCGTAAGACTCTCCAATCAACCATTTGCCAAAATGAAAAGTTTTTAAAAGACTTTTCAGCACAACTTACTTAAAGTTTTCTGTCCATTCAGTCTTTTGATTCGCATGAAACACTGTGATGGAACTCCAAAGAGTGACAACTAGAAGAGACTCACCTCCCAGCAGGTCGTCTTCAAGTCCTACAGGAGCAGAACTCTGCGTTTCCTCCACAGGGCCCCCGAAAGAGTCTACGGGAGCATCCAGTTATCCACAAGGCAGCATGGAGGGCAGAAAAGGATGAGAGGTCAGCCCTGGTACACAAAATGAGACACAACGAAGGGGTGGGTAGGACACAAAATTATCTTTATAAAAGAAAAAGAAAAAGTGTGAACAAAAAAGGTTAAATCAAATCAGATTTTAAGGCAATCCATCCAAGAATTGATTTAACAGAAAATACAAGGAAAACATCTGTGTTGGTTCAAGGACACATATAAAACCTGCAGGACACCGGCACTTGAGGCCTGGAGTTCCCCACCCCTGACATAGAGAAATAAATCCTCTAGGATACCCCCCCCCCCCCCCCAAATTAAAAAACCCAAAACAAAACAAACCCACAAAAAACAAACAAACAAAAGAAAGATACGGAAAAGTCAAATAATATGAGGCACAAAGTACATCAACATCAATTATATGTCACATTTTATTGTAGAAGTGATATACCAGTGTGGGATGTCAAGTCAGTACTTAAATAACATCTATTGAGTGAGCGTACATATGCTTTATGGTATCAGGACACTGATGCTTACCGAATGTGAGTGTATTTGAGACATTAATAAAGTGGGTTTACACTTTATTAACTCTAACAAACTCTACAACTCTTAACAAATCTCTCGCAAATCGTATATATCTGTCAGTTGGTGTTGTATGTACAGTACCCAACAGGTCAATGACAGGCTCTGGCTCTGCTTTAGGTGGAGATGAGGTCCCTGCCGCAGGAACAGAAGCAGGAGCCGGGGCAGGGGTAGGAGCAGGAGATGAAAACGAATCTGGACAGAAGAGATAGAAAAAGAGATTTAATTAAATCAGTTTTATTAATCACTGCTTCAGTTCCAGTGACAGACTCCTCTGCTCATGTAGGGTTTTTTTTCCTGCCTGTTCTAAAAAGACTAAAGCAGACATGCAGAGAAGAAGAAGCAGAAGGAGGAAGCAAGCATCCCTGCATCTTAACTGTGTATCCACATCCTTGAAGCGTGCATCCTTTGGAAGTAGAGGTCTGGTCTGCATGTGCATGCAGACCCCAGTACCATGCAAAAACTTGTCTGGCTGCACCCCTCATAAAAAAGGAAGGGAAACAGTGATGCAGTAAAGGTAAAGCAGCTTGACTCACCCGTCACAATGTCTCCAGCCGGAGCCGGCTCGGGCAAAGGAGAGGGCCCGCGTGAAACAGCAGGAAGGTCTAATTTACCAACGCAAGCAAGAGGCAGAATACGAGAAAGAAGAAAACCATGGAGGTTGGGCAAAAAAAAAAAAAAAAGCATTAGCGTGGCAGGTAGAAAGATAAAGCATAGAAAGAAAGCAGCCACAACGATTATCCGGTAATTGACGAGTGGGATGCATGCACAGTTGTCACATACCACTATGGGGGGACAAACCAAGAGGTGAGGAAAAAGAACAGCTGACAGAGGAGTGGACATATAGAAACCAGAGGAGATGAAGAGGTTCCATAGACAGAGAAATGGATATCAACTCCTGTACCTGCACCAAAAAGGTCTACGCTAGGAGTGGTAGCAGCTTTGGATTCAGTGGTAGGGCTTTGCTCAGGCATAGAATCAAACATATCTACGAACAAGGACACACAATCATATGTACATTCAGAGTCCAAAGTCCAGTGCATACAAAATGGATTCAGAAGAGAGATGAGGGGAAAGCAGAGAGAGCAGATATTTTGATTATTAAATGGATAAGTTGCTGTGTATCTATCCAGTGCAATGCAGAATCAGAGTTAAAAGGGAAATATTGCCAAAGTTAAGCATGAAGACAAACTTACATATTTTCTATATAATAATCACTACAATCTGCCATGTTCAAAATTCAAGAGCTAAGAGATAAGAAGACTAACGGGAGAGGTTTTCAACACCTGGCATTTCCTTTGCCCTCCAATAAAACATATATAAACATACTTTCATTTAGAAAATCCTGTTTGTAGCTGTGTGGCATTCTGAGCTAAACAGTAATGTTGGCATGACAATATTCTGATATCTGGCTTCTTCAGCTAATTTCATGTTAGCATGTTAGTATGCTAATAATTAGCAACAAACAAAAACTCAGAAGAGGACTGTCATTTACCTTTGTACATTTGCTACATTTGTTGGATAAAACAAAATGTGTTTGATCCCTTCTGATGCTAAACAAATATATATATATATATATATATTAGTATCAAACTACCAAGTTGATTTTGGAGGGAGTATGATTAGTTCAAAATTCTTTCTCAATGGCTTCTTTACACACACCCAAGTTTTTGCTTTAGCCACGTTCCGCTTGGCCTGTCAGTACCTATCGACTGCCTCAGAAGTCCCACAGGCTAACCAAGCACAATAGGACTCCTTCTTCAGCCTGACGGTTCCCTTCACCTCCAGTGTCAACCATCTAGTTAGGGGGTTACCACCATGACAGGCACCAACCACCTTGCGCCCGCATCGGTGCAGCTGCTTCAGCAATGGAGGCGTTGAAAATGGTTCATTCTGACTCAATGTCCCCAGTCTACCTCGAAATGCTGTCTAAGCTATGCTGTCAAGGGAGTTGAAGATCTCACTATATGTTTAGGCACCCCATGTCTGTCCAGCATCCTCCCCCAATACCTGATCCAACTCCCCGCCAGGTGGTAATCAGTTGACAGCTCAGTGCCTCTCTTCACCCAGGTATCCAGAACATATGGCTGCAGATCTGAAGATACAATTAAATAATTGATCATCGACCTGCTGGTGCCACATGCACTTGTAGACACCCTTATGTTCGAACATGGTTTTTGCTATGGAAAGACTGTGGTTTATACATAAGTCCAGTAAGAGAACACTGGTTGGGTTCAGATCTGGCAGGCCGTTCCTCCAAATCAAGCTCCTACAGGAATGTCGGGTACTCTGAACTGTCGTTCAGTGCGTAGGCACAAACAACAGTCAGGACCCATTCCCCGACCCGAAGGCACAGGGAACAAACCCTCTCATTCAAAAACTCCAATGTACAGGCAGCAACCAGATGGGATATTAAGATACCCACCCAGCCTGCCATCTCTCACCAAGGGCAACTCCAGAGTTAGACAGTCCAGCCGTTTTCCAAGAGACTGGTTCTGGAGCCCAAGCCATGCATTGAGGTGAGCCTGAATATATCTAGTTGGTACCTCTCAACCTTTCACACTAGCTCAGGCTTCTTCACCACCAGAGAGATGACATTAAATGTCCCAGTTGTTAGTCTTGGTAGATGGGGATCAGTCTGCCAGGGTCTCTGCCCCGGGTCGCCACTCAGTGCACACTGCACCCGACCCCTACGGCATCTCCTGCAGGTGGCGGGCTGACAGGAGGGTGGGCCCATGTCCCTTGTGCCCTGGCAGGTCTAAGTTGTCATAGATTAACTAAAATTACTTAACCTTCATGCTGAGACTAGATGAGTTATTATAATTAATTTAAAAACGAGTGCACTAAAATTCATAACAAGCAATCCACTGATAATTTTAAAAAACCTAAAGGTTCAACAAAACTTAGAAATCAATGGCTCAGCTCTGCTGAGTTTGAGAAAGCTCAGCAGATGACCAAAGTATACTTATCATGAATATCAGAATCAGTGTACTATCGCTAGCTTTGGCAAAGATATACAGCAAAAACAATTCTTATTTGGGCTTCTTAAGGCCTTTGGGTTATTAGACCTTTCCACACACTGAAAAACAAACATAGACAAATTCTGTTCTTTAATTCTGACATTTAGCGATATTCCCTTTTAACTCAGATGCATAAGCTACAATACAGCATTCCCATCCACCAGTATCTAAAAACTCTGGCCACAAGCAGGAGAAGAAAACACTTTTCTTCCCTCCAAGTTTGGGAGACTGTTAGTAATATTAAAAAATCAACACAATTTGAGCCACCTCTGTTAATAAACACAAAACAAAATTTTCTTTTATCCACAGAGATCAAATAAGTACAAGTTTTGGTCCCCGGTCGGTAAATAATATTCAATTTTAAAACTGGCTTTGGAGATTTTTTCTAATTCGCTATATTCATGTTTTTTGGGGGTTTTTTAACAGAAGAGGTCAAAATGCTTGATTGACTATAAACAATCTAAAGGAAAGGTATCATGGAAAAATATAAAAACAAATCAGAATGTAGGGACTGGGCAAGTTATTGTAATTTTCACCATCATCATCATCATCAATACCAAGAGCAACACAATCATCATAATTATTAATACCATCATCATCACCATTGTCATAATGCAGGGCAATGCAGTGAGAGGCATAATGAGAGCGAGAAGACTTTACCACCAAAGAGATCTAGAGTCGGGGCAGCTGCAGACTCTGTGGTGGTGTCGGTGGAGGTTGTGGCAGTAGTAGTTGTGGTGGTGGTATTAGTGGAAGAAGGGGTGGGGGCAGCAATGGGGGCGATGATAGTCGGCGCATCACTAGAGGTGGGAGGAGTAATGGCAGCAGCATCCGCCCCCGTGTCGGTGGGCTTCATAGCAAACAGGTCCAGTTCTGGAGCAATGTCCGCACTGCCCTCCGTCGTAGCGAAGGGGTCTTCGCAAAGAGCAGCAGGTTGGTGGCGTTCAGGAGTTAGGGAGGGGGTAATGATTAGAAAAGAAGGGAATGGGTCAGTGGAGAGGGGATGAGGAAGGGAGGAATTAAGGATTTGTTAAAGTGACAAAAACTGCAAAAAGCATTTTTGTGAGGCTAAATACCTCAGAAGTGTCAAGTTAGGGTCAAAGAAAGTAAAACAATACATGGTAACTCAGAGCTCCATCCACAAACTTCAGCAGAAAATACAATAGAAAGAAAAAACAGTAATTATGGACTATAGTTAGTAGTGGAATAATTCCATGATGCCCAATTTGTCTCAAACATGCAAGCCTAATCCAAACCATCCATGTGTCCAGGAAACAGCCGGCTCTGTGAACAATGCTAGCAGTATATAAGAATGAAAGGACATGCCATAAATACCTTGTATCTATTAAAAATCAATTTAAACTGTTTTCTTCTGTCCTAGAGTGACAAGTCTTTCTAACTTGGGTTGACAAAAAAAAAAAGGGGGGGGGGGCCGTAAATATTACTTATTACAAAAGAACTACTACACAGTCAACCATTTGCTAGTTAGCATTAGTTTTTGTTTGTTGGTTGTTTTTGTTTTTTTCTGGTTTATCAATAAGAGCAGGACACCTATCAATACATGGAGCAAAGAACCTAGAAAATTAGAGATAAGATAAGATAAAACTTTATTAATCCGTCGGGTGGGTTCCTAGTTAGCATTAAGTAATTCTGGGTCTAGTCAAGTATACAAGTTAGTAAAAGTATTAAGTATTAAGTTTTCTTCTTCTTTATCAAAATAGTTAACTATATATAGTACTTCTTAATCAATCTACGTAAATGGCCTTGATCTTCATTCTTGAAGTAAATAACTTTGGCAGTGCACTGGTAAATAAGCTAAATGCTAACATGCTCACACTGACACTAGTGACTTGCTAATGTTTGGCAAGTAATGATTTAAAGTTAGCAAGGCAACATGCTAATCATGAACTTAAAACAACAACTGAAGCTTAGAAAAGCTAACAAAGCACAGATGTATTTTGGCCTAGCAATAGTGTTATAGTGAACATCAAGGTTCATAACACAATTGACAAAGTAAGGAACAAAATTATTTGTTTTATTTAAGTATTTTACAAAGTTATTAGAACCTAAGCTTGGCGATTAATGTATTTTGAGCAGTACTGGGGTACGTTGTGGCAAAATTGGAAAAAAGTCATGGAATCACTCCAGTCTTCTCATTGTTGAAAAACTAAGCTAACCAATGCACAAAGTTGTCAAAAGCTGGCGCTTCCCTTTTACACAGAAGATAAAGTGTGGATGCAGGATAAAGTTATTTTTAAGGTTAATCACACATAAATATTAAATACCCTGTGATTACAGTAGGGGTAATTATAATGTAAAGTAACATTTTTGCTTATTGAATGGACATTATGTAGGTTGCTTCAGTTTCTCTGCTATGTAAGCTGCTGCAGGCCAAAGAGAACAGCTGAATGCAAGTTATTAAAAACCAAAATAAAATATGATTAGTATAACCATCATAATCCAGTTGTGTCATGGTTAGTGGTGTTAAAAAAGACATTTATTTCTGGAATACTGAGAAGATAATAGCTGTGCTGTGCTTTTTACTGCAGTATTCACTGGATGAATATTAGGAGGAGAGGGTCCATGACTTGGGCATTGGAGTAGGATTTGGGGTGAGACAGTGGGACCTGAGGGCAGGTTTGTTCTACTGTCTTCTATGAAAGCAGAAGCAGCTTTATTAATATAATAAAAGCAACAGCCTTCACATTCGCACACGCACTCGTACCTCCATGCACACACGTTTGCACAGAAAGCTGTTTTGTCACCCACCAGATCCACCAAATGCATCAGCAGCAGGGCCCGCGGCCACGGCAGCAGGACCATCTCCTGGGGAAGGTGCAAACGCATCTAGGGTATTGCAGACGAAAAACAGCCGGAACGCGAACACAAAACGTAACACCCGGACCAACACACCAACACACACATGGATGTATAGAACAGAAGATGAATAAACAGATGAAATGGACAGGGAAGAAAAATGAGAGGTCAGCATCAGGAAAAAGCAGAGAATACAAGAAATATGCAGCCCAGTAACTGCAATGATTGATCTCATTGTATCATCAGTCACATGATGAGTTTTGTTTTGATGGGGCTGCATAATGCTGCATTCAGTGAGTGCACCACCAGTGCAGGCTCGTGAAATGAGGCATGTTGTCACAAGTTACTTGCACTCTGTGACAAGAGGGGAAATGTCAAGGTCAGGGATGGACAAAGGTCGTTTCTCTTTGGTGTTTTAGTAGTACTCTGAATGTTTGTTAGTATTAACTAATATGCCAAATTATCATTAAATAGCACTCAGCCAGTTTTTGTCTTGGCATATTTAAGAAACTGTTAGTAACTCATAGGAAGAAAATAATTCAGGGCGATAACAAAAAGCACAAATTGACAAATCTCAAATATATGCATCATGATTTTGCACATTGCAGGGGAATGAAATAATGCTGTACGGTACTGGTTAATTTTTGGGGGGCGGATTTGAAATGGTAAAGGTTTTTCCCCCGCCGAGTGAAAAACATGATGCGTGATAGCTGGACACTAAGCCAGCACAACAGTATGTGCATGGCAGTCACAAAGCAGGACGTAAAAACATGTTTAGTCACATCACTAAGCATTATTTTTTTTCCAAAAATAAGTACATCTGACACAACACAGCCCCCCCCCCCCCCCCCCCCCAAAAAAAAACTCTCAAACATTTCTAGCTATAGAATGAAGAAATATCCGTTTAATTTTGGTATTTTATATTAGATAAAATAAGGCTTGGAAATAAAGCTGCAACTTGAGAAAAGATCAAAAAAATATGTTAAAAAGATTCTTAATTCAGATTAAGGAAATATTCTTCAAAAAGAGCTGTGAGTGCTGCTAAACAACATTTCTATCCTCGAAAAGCTTTGGTAATGCATTTCTCATCTGCCTACTGTTAGAATATGCATTTGATGTTGTTTTTCGCATCAAAAAGAATATGTAGAACATTTAAGCTCAGTGGTTAACCTGATGAGACAAAAGCCTGTATGCTTTTTGTCAGGTTATGATATTGCACTCCTGTGTTTCCAAAAGCAAATCCAAGCTTCATAACAAAGGAAATCTATCATTATGTAACTAAACAATGAATGGGCTTGTTGCAGAAAAGCAGGCAGGCCGTGTCTGCATCCTACCCTCCACCTACACTGACCTCCGAAAAGGTCGATGTCTGTGGCTGAGGTGGTGGAGGCAGGAGCAGAGATGGGCAGCGAGGTGGGCGCCTGCGCAGCTGCAGCAGTGGTGGAACGAGCAGGGGCTATGGGCGGGGCAGCCACGGGGGCAGAAGCAGCCGCAGCATTGGCATCAGCAGACTCTTTCTTTGCCAGGAGAGATTCAGAGGCTCCGTCGGTAGCGGCCGGAGTCGCTACGCAGATAAACCCCGCAATCCAAATGCCACGACCCAGTCACAACCCCCAAAAGAGAGGAAGAAACAGCAGGAGAGAAAATAGGGAAGAAGGAGCAAGACGGCAGAGTCAAAGACGTCAAAGTGAGTGAAAAGTTCAAAAAGAAAAAAGAAAATTCAGAACTGCAGGTTGAGAGACAAGTTGAACAGGCGACTGCAGGCGACGCTGTCAACAGAATACTTACCCAAGAGATCTTCAAGACAGCACAAACCAAAACAAAGAGAGAGAGAGAGAGAGAGAGGTCAGAGACAGTGAATGACTGAGTTAAGAAAGAGATATACTTTGAAATTATGCAGATGCTCCAAGTAATGATTTTTTTTGGTTAATTTGAGAGCTTCCAACCTTTTACAGGAAAAGCCAGAAAAGCAGAGATGGGACAAAAGCAAATCCAATTGAGTGAAAGGGTCATTAATATAACTGAGGCTTTAAAAAGGCTAAGGCTGGACCACAGCCATGGTTAAGGTATCAGAGGACATGTAGGAAAAAAATCGTTAAAATTGCGATTAAAACCACAAGAAGTTTCACAATGTTAAAGAGGAGAGTCCCATTTCTCTTTCTGTTAAAGCCGATGATTTTCAGTAAAAGTTTAAGAAGAATAAAAGAGTTTGTTTGTTTCTGCACATTTATTACAAACTATAAATAACTGATGCTGCTGCCAGCCGAAGCATACAGGCAGGTTTTTCCGTTCAGTTTCTTCTTTCTCCTTCTTGGTTTTCATTCATTCTATTTTGGCAAGAAAAATCACTCAGCAGTCACCTCACCACACTGTGTGCTTTGAAAAAAGGTTGCAAATAATTTAAAGTAAAGCTGGCGGCGAGTAGTTTAGTAACTGAATCATTAAAAAACAACAGATTTATTGAAGAAGTTGATGTAAGTGTGTAAAATGTGCTCTTTCACTGAAGTACATTAAGTTAAGGTCATCACTAAAACTCTCCCCTGTCACAGCTGAGCGACCATAATGTGACAGTGTGAGTCTGTTAAACTAAACATAACAGCATGTTAAAGAGCTGGGCATAAGGCTGTAGGACATGAGATACACAGTACTTTACACTTCAGGAGGTCTGGTTTAACATAAGCTACAACTTTTAGCAGAAACTTCTCACAGCAGTAGCAAAGGGTTATATCTGAAGCCAAGACGTGCTGGGCAAAGTGGCGGTTACAACCGTTTCCATGACAATAACACCCAATAAACTTGATTTTCCTAACTAATTGTGTTTGATGCTAAAATAAATTTACTGCTTTTTATGTTTCGTTAATGTCTCTGATCTCCTTATTTTGTAATGTTTAGATTCCAGTTTAATTGAATCTTCCCTTCTGTCCATTTCATATTTTTAATAAATTCTATCTTTGTCTTTAAAAGAGTAAAATACTAATTAATATATATTATCTTGTTAGCTTTCCAAAATTCTATAAAAAATCTATATTCATAACTAGAAGATCTGATCTAAATTTTCTTTCCTCTGTGTTTTTCTCACATTGAAAAAGATTGATGTTGATCTGTCTGATATATAAGCAAATAAGCTGAGTGTGTTAGAAACAAAAAGCTGATCTCACAGTTTAATTCATAACACTCTATAATGCCAGGGATCTGATTGTTTACCTACATGGATCATTAGCTTATAGGGATGCTGACTTTTTGCCTGAAAATGATGAATCCAGTTGATTTGAACATTGTATCAGGAGCTACACTGACTATTCTAAGAATTCAAAATACAGCCTTGAAACAGTGTCATGTGAGTCTGTATTGTTCTGTATTGGACAAGCAATCTGATATGACGAACATAATTTCCCTAAAACACTTGATCTTTGGGACTAATGTTGTATTACATTTAAAATCAGAAGTCAGAAGTTCCAAAATTCCCAGTCAGTCATTTTTAACTGAAACATCCCCTTACTTACAACTCAGAGAGTTAGGGCAGCCCCGCCAACCCCGACTTCATAATCCAAAATGGCCCCAGTGCATGTAAACGATAATAAAACTTCTAATCTGTGCCGCCACTGCTGTGTCTTTGTGACTGGTTAAATAAGCCATATACAGTGCACTGACCCAGCTCTATCTATGAACTTGATGCACCGTTAATTTAAAGTGCAAGAAAAAAACTATTATTGTGCTGCTTTCTAATTATGTATGGCTGCCTCCACCTCCGAAGAAGCAAAACAAATCCTACTTTTCTTTGCTTTTATTACTTGAATGAACCCAACTTGGGAGTGACATCAGTCCCGGCTCTGACATCCAACTTCCGAGGTAAATGAAATGCAGCATGATTGAATGGGTTGTGGGACTACTCTGGGGTCAGACCTGTCTCTAATTGCATTTAGCATGATATCTTTGTAGGCATTCATTTATAAAGCCCCTTTTTTTTAACATTTTAGCTAATGTTAGTCAATCAAAGCTGCTAAATAAACAATTAGTGCCTAAAAATGTGGGAATATCAGCTTGTACTCAAATCAGAAAATGACGGGAGTTTCAAACATTTCATTTGGTATATCAAAATGACCTTACCTCCCCATCCAGTTGTGGAGGAAGCCGCTGCAGTGCCCCCTGCTGATGAGGAGGACATGGGATCTAGATCCAAGAGGAACCCATCATCAAGTGCACTGAACACAGGGGAAAAAAGACAGTAAGGGTGTGTTGACAGAGGAATCCATTTAAAATGTGGTATCGATGCAGATAAGTTACAACAATCTGTTATATTGATGAGTAATTCTTACTTGCTGGCAGTGGTGGGGACTGGTGCAGTGGGAGTGACAGAGGGTGGAGGGGGCTTGGCAGGCGGCACGGGGCGGGCTGGAGGCCCACCGGGAGCAGCGGGAGGCGCGGGCTTGGCTGGCGCAGCAGGTGCTGCTGCTGCCGGCATGCTATTGTTAGCGGTAGCATCCTGCCGCAGAGGACAACCCCCGTTAGATGATGACCAATATATTCATGTAAGCAAATGTGATTCACAAGCTTTCTAAACAGATGAATAACAATAAATCACTACCCATCTAAAGTAAAAACTAGTAAGGGTGAAGCCCTTGATTCAAGTTCTCAACTGTATTTTGACTCTGAAAGTTGTCACACATAAATACAGAGTCCTGTTATCATAGCTACATTGTGATTATCATGAAGCATAGCTTACCTTTGTGGGCGACCTGCAAGAACAACAACAGCACATGAGTTAACGAGTTTAACGCTGTACACAATGGAAGCTAATGGCTGCTACTGAGACAGGAGGCAAAGTGACGGCTTAAATATCCCTTTGTCGTTTTCAGGCAGGAAGCATTTCAAAGCAAATCCATTAAGCAAGCATCTTCAATTAATGGATATATGCTGCATTGATGAGTTACAACTTCTTGGCCCCAGCGCCACTTGAACAAAGCTTTTGTATTTTGACATTACACATAGAAAGTAATGACTGACATGTGACTGAAGCTTTGTAAAAGTTGGGGCTGACTCTACAGTAGGATGATACAAAGGTGTTAGGTTAGTGATGACATGTGCGAAAAGGCAAGGCCTGTCATCGCTCCAAATGATTTGATGATGAAATGATGATTCTGAAAGATGCAGGATATTCAGACGCCGTGTCTATTCAATCACTGAGTAATAATATAAAAATAATGTATAACCTGAATAAGGCAAAACACTGATGAATAAGGGGGAACAATGGTGGTGGTGAAATAACATTTACAAGTCCTACTCTTATGGACAGAGATTACTTACTTATCCTCTCTGAATTGTGTAAAGATAAGAAGAAATGACAAGTTGGAGAAGTATTAGTGAGTTTTACTACAGATGAGCAAAACCCCGGCAAAAACGTTGATGTTAAGCGTTAAAAAACCCACTAAATTGGTGTTTTGTTCGATCTACTTACGGTTTCTTCCCCTCCAAAGTGTTGAGGTGGGTCTCCAGAGACGCCAGAAGGCTTTCGGGGGCCTGCAGACAAATACACAGAGAGGGGCTGCTAATTACTCAAACACAGACAGCATGTTGAGTACAGTTAGACAGAAAGGCATAAGAGCAGACCAGGGTGCACAGGGTAATTTATAGATCACATTTGGATTGTGCGAATGCCTCTTTAACAAGGGCTTCTTCGTGGTGGCTATGAAATAGAAGGACAGCAGCTGAGGAGATTACTTAAGTGCCTTTTTTCTAATACGCTGATAGGCTGCAGACTGGCTAATATCCTGATGGCTGTTCTGCCTTCTCGTATTCCTGCATGATGCTCTGATAATTGTCCTCCCTGCTCAGTTTTATTTTCTCTGTCTAATCTAATCAACATTGACTCAGCAGCACTGACTCTTGGAACACCTCACTCTATTTTCATTTTACTACATCTATGAATGCACCGCTCCAAAGTGAACCTTAGGCTGGCACATTGCCTTAACTGTGACTTGAGTTTTAACACATTAGGGCTGCAAAATATCCTGACTGGCTCCTTCGTCCAGCACTTAATTAAATCCATAAAAGAAACATGCTCTTTTGGAGTGCTAGCTTCTTCTCCTTTTTGTTTTGTCTTTTGTTTGCTTTTTAGAAATGGAAATTTCTTACGATAAAAACATGCAAACCAGTAAGGAAAAATAACAAATGTGAAACTGCTGCTATCCAAAATAGATTTTTTATAATGTATAAAATATATTCAGGCACAAATACACAGCTCTGCTCTGTGCTGGTTGTCTGTTGGGTCTTTACATCCATTTTCTTTTCTTTTTTAACCCTCACAATATTGTAAATTGATCTTTGGTTTTTGATATACAGTATTTTAATTGACCTTCTGTCACACAGTGGACACAGATTTAGGCATGCCTTCTTCCACAATCGTTCTCCAGGTTTCTTGAAGCGTATTCAAAGCTGTTCTTTGGATGTTGGCTGCCTTTTGTAAGTAAGTAAACTTTATTAAAACTTCATTTATATAGCACCTTTCTAGATAAAAGATCACAAAGTGCTTCACACAAGAATAACAAAGTATAAAACAAAACAGACAACAGTTAACAAAATGCAATTTTAAAACAATGGGTTTTAGTTGGGTTTTTTTCAAAAAGCTACTGAGTCCAGAGATCTTAAGCTCAGTGGGAGAGAGTTCCACAGTCTGGAAGCAAAAGTGGCAAAAGCTCTGTCTCCCTTAGTTCTCAGGCTTGTATGATGAATGACAAGTAGACCCTGATTACTTGACCTACGAGACCTGCTAGGGACATAGGGCTGCAGAAGTTCAATGATGTAGGCAGGAGCTTGTCCATGAGGAGCTCTATAAGTCAGTACCAGAATCTTGAAGTGGACTCTGAATTCAATGGGGAGCTGGGAGTTGGAGGAAGTTCTCAACTTTAATGGAATCTAAGCACTCATTCATTGTTCTGTTCTCTTTCAAGATGATCTGACGCTGCTTCAGTAATGCTGAGGTCCTAAATCTGAGGAGACCAATCCATGATTGATAGTGTTTTATTATTTGTTTTTCAGGTATGGTTTTACTGCATTGGCAGTGTGTTTGGGATCACTGTCACACAGAAAAGTGAAGCTGTTGACAATCAGACGCTTTCCCATTGCTATTACATAGTGAATTAAAGTCTGAGGGTATCAAAATATCATAATATATAAAGTTCTTGGCTAATAGCTCTTTGGGAATCAGCTTGTCGGTGTAAAAATAGGAATGCTTATGCTGGTCAAACTATGTTGCTTTCATACAACTAAAGAACAAACTTTGTTTTAGTAAAAGCTGCTAGTAACAAAATGCCTAAATATATCATGGAAAACTGTTTCTTTCTGGGGACACACCACTATTCAATGACTTAAATTGGATTTTTTTTTTATATACTTGAATGATTCAAGGAGCAGTATTAAGTGCCTAAATAAAAAACAAAACATAACTAAAACAAAAAAAAAAATCCTGTACAAAGACTGAACTGAAAATGAGTAAAAAAGCAGCCAATGTCTAAAGAAAAATCACTGGGTTCTTGGAAGTAAATGATAAAGAAATAAGGGGAGGCTTTCATAGCATTATACATACTAAAATGGACAATAAACAATAATTGTTACACAAGCACCGGGACACCACATTCAGAATAGAGCAGATACAAAAGCATCTTCATGCTAATAACAGCCACGATGCGGAGCTGCATGCTCAATCAAGCTAAACTCAACATGATCACCTAATGATGTGCAGTAAAAAGGATAGTATGATATTTAGAAAAATTCTTAAGAATCTCAGCAAAGGTTTTTGTTCTTCCTATAACACTTTCTTTAATTCTCTGCACAGTTTTCTGGGTCTGTTTATTTATAGCTCCCTTTTAAAACTGAAGACTTACAAGGCAGATAATTTTGTCTTGACACTGAGAGAAATAGATAGATCATTATCACCCTGGGACTTTAAAGTGTCTGTCCTCACTACTCAGTACAAACTGTTCTCTGTGCAGAGGACGTTTTAACTGTTTAACTCCATTATTGCAAAGCTTAGACAAATGCAATAATGGCTCTCGTTTTAGGAAGCCAATACGAAAAGCTTCTGAACCAAATCTCTGTGATAGCAAAAAGCTTCCAGGATAACGTATGAACGTATGGCTGACACTGCCATCACTGGAAGGATAATTTCTACATCTACTTGCTGCTCTAACAAAAACAACAACAACAAAACAACACAAAGTGTGCATGAGTGATGACATAACAACACAGCAAGTTAGTCAATGCTAAAATTATTCTGTCTTGTTTGTGCTGATGTAAATCCTCCAGATTTCTATTCTCATCCCGAGAATAGAAATCTGTATTAGATACTGAAATAAAGGTTTCAAGGCTCTGTAAGACTGATAGTTTTTTCTCCTGCACTCATCAACTGCATTTTATCACAATATTCTGAGAGAATTTACTGTCTGTAGGTTAGTCTGTAATGATCAGTGATGCTGTTATGACAATTTATTGCTGATAGCTTTTAACAGTGGCTGGTAAAGGAAACTGTGGCAGTTTGGATAGCTGATCTAGTACCATTTAATATTTATAGCTTGTTTTATCAAAATAACAGAAAGAGATTTGTTTAGTTTTCTTTTCTCCTGCTCAGAAACAGTCATAAACAGTCAGTGTCTGGACTCTTAACTCTGTATCAGATTTTCCTCATATTACAATATGGCCACCATCTGAATGGCATTGTCAGAAAAGTCAAGAAATCCAACCCAAAGGAAGCAAAGAATAAAGAATTTCTCTATAAGCAGAACATCAGCATGCCATGTTGGGGCCGGATGTTGCCAGAACGCCATGTTTACTGTATATGCTTCCCAAACTTCCTTCATAAGTTATTGTGTAAAATTTACCACTAGAGGCCAGTAGATTGCAGATTGCAGTCAACTGAATTCTGTTTTCTTACCCCTCCCAATTTAAGTTCCTAAAACTTCCTACTGTGGCCGCTATAGGTAAAACAACTCTAGCCGTCAATCATCTGTAGCAAGTGTATGCTGTCACTCGGCTGTTTACCTCAGCTGGCAAAATGCGTCTACGTCTCTACATTTATTTGCTCTGGAGGAAGCCATAAAACTTTGTGAAAGGGGTCTGATGTGAGTCGATGAGACAGAGAAGCTCAATTCTGACTGATGGCAGCAATACTGGGGTGAGTTGCTGAGGATATCTTGAACTTTTCTGTTGGTGAACACTGCTGTTAGCCACTGTTAGCTGCTGTTAGCTGCCATGTTAGTGATAGGAGTCGATGAGTCAGTAAGATGGTGTTAGTTTCTCTCAGCTGCTGCCAGCTGCTGTTAGCCGACATTAGTAAAATTGTATTTCGAGTGGATCTAATATTGTTGGACTTGGACACTTAGCAAAAAAAAAAAAAAAAAAATCTCATATGATGTGCAAATGCAATCAAACTGTTTATTAGAGGGAAAGTGTGATTTTTAAGACACTCAAGCCTAACATTAGTTGGCACAATGTTAAGTTATAACCAACTGTTGTTGTTTTTTAGCCAGCTCTTGTCAGCTGTCCAGAGACAGGAGGGTTAAAACTCTAATCTGCCGACAATCAGTACTTGCAACAATATCAGGGAAAAAAATATGTTTATGCACATTTCCATGTGTTCCAAGGTTTGAAGGTTGAAGAGAATCACATTTTATCCAGATGCCGGTCATGTCATCTCTTTCCTTTAAATGAACACCTACGAGTTCTCTTATTCTACACCTCTGCTGTACAATATATGTGGCCAAATAAATAAAACATGACTTGGCGGAACAACGATGTCCATCTCGGCCACTGTATTTTTAATATGGCTGGACACCATGGCAGCTTGCACAGACTGACGCACACTCCTTTGTATTTTACCTGAGTTAATTATAAGTTTGTGAGCTAATTACACACAAATCGATGTATATTTATGAGTACAATAACACTTTTTTTCTATTAAATAAAATAAAAGAAATAACTGACTATATTTTTAATTGAGGGACAATAGAAGAATGTAACATAGTGTACAGATTAATAGGGAAAAACCTGAGGAAAATACAACATTGAAACATTTAATGAAGAAGATTTTTTTTTGATGATTGACATGTGTAAGATGTTTCAGGTTTAGATAAATATGAAGCTAGTGCTAGGAAGTTCTCATTTAGCTTAGACTAAATACTGGTCTATCCATTAAATATTTCACCAGAAAAAACATAAGCTGCTCTTTTTTGTCTTTATTAAAAATAGTAAAACTAATTTAATTCCATGTTTCTAGGAATGAGAAGACGCACATAAGAAACGCCTCATTTTTAGCACACAGACATGACACTAGTTTTGAAATTCTCAGCTAACTTCATGTAAACAGACAGTACCTGAAATGCAGAAACAGAAGGTTAAAGCTAACACGATAACTTCTTTTAACTCTAATGTGAGCTGATATATTTCACAGCCATCCAACCTGTATCTCCAGAAAAAGGTGTTCTGTTTCAGTTCAAATGTTTTTTTGCAACTTGCTCAGCAATGACCTAACAAGCTTCAGACAGCACTACAGCACACTTTTCATGCAAGGCTGCCATGTCTGAAAGGAACAACCTTAGCCACAGAGTTTCCACAGCAGAACAGAGCTTTAAAAACTGCAACTGATTCAGGAAACAGCTGGAAAATTAGGTTTCTCATCCTGGGGATTGCTTATTATAAATAAATCAGGAATCAGATTAGGAAAAATTAATCATGTGACCCTATAAGCTGTCATGGAAACTGCAGCACATTCTGAGGATAACAATCTGCTGTTTTATACAGTTGTTGAACGAAAGCTAGCTGTGCTAAAATCAGCCACCTGATCAGCAGCATTGCTCAGCATGTCCTAGCTTTCATCCAGCTGGCTAGTCACATCATCCCACTTTGTCAGAGCGCCTGGTGTATGTCTGCTGGGTCTGCACTCACTGAGCAGTGTGCTTCAATTCAGTGCACTCAACGAGAGTTTAAATGACTACTTTCCCTAAGCTGCTTGCTCCCAAAGCTAGCTCTGTGCACTGCTAACTACTCACACTCTCAGCCTGAATGATCGATCTGCATCTCTGAAAGTAAAAAGAGAAGGGGAGCCACGGGGACCGTCAATCAACAAATGAACACAGCTTATTGGTTGTGTGGCGGATGTGTGGTTCCTGTTTGTGAATTTCTGATTGTTGTCAAATGGGAGCAGTTGTGGTGGACACAGCAGAAAAAACAAATAGTAGCTTTAGACATTCATATTACATGCAATATGGTTAGAAAGACCACACCACTGTTAGTTAGTCTGTTAGCTTGTAGTCTAAAAGAATATTATATCTCCCAAAATGGCCCAAAACCCAAATTTGACAGTCTTACCTTAGTAAGCTCAGGTATGTCATTTTTGTCTATTCCCACTTCCTTTAAAAGAAAACAACAAGAGGTAAGACAACAACTGCCAGAATGTACTTCAGCTCCCAGCCAATCAGTGACACCTGCTGCTCAGAAGGTTACCTCAGCAATTTTGAAGAATTCGGAAACTCGAGTCATTCTTGTCAGGAACCGCTTGTAGATCTCAAGCCCATCTTTACACTGGCTTCTCTTCATTTGAAAAAATTTTTCTAGAAAGAAAAGAGGTTGAAATGTGACACCCTATCCCCCTGAATTTCACCCAAAGCTTTTCCTATTACTCTGCGGTATACATATCCAACCGTTTCCACAAAAAAAAAGTATTTGCCACCCATTTTTTCTTTCAGGAGTAGTGTTAGAAATGAAATCCATCTGCTCACCCATCAAGACAGTGGTGTAAATACCGACTCATAAAGGTAAAGTTCAGGGGTGACTCTTTACCTAACAGGTTGATGATGCCGTCATTATAGCAGGCATATAACTTGATCAGATCTTTGAAGAGCAGGAGAAAGCAGGCATTTATCACTCCATTGTTGAGATCCTTTGGATGCACCTGAGGGGACAAATATAGCTGAAGTCAAAATCTTCGTAAAATGTTTCCTATGATCAGCGTCTTCATTTAACATAGTCAAATTAGTATGTATACTTGAGAAAAGTTTAATATCCTTCTTCAAAATGGTCTGGCAAGTTAACCAGCACACAGTCAGGTTTACTCGTTCCGTACGAGTGGATGTACCTCCATGTTCAGTTTTGTAGCGGTCATGTTGTCATCTTGTAGGTCTTTACCCTTCTAATGTTAGACGTAAAGCTAAACTATGACTCCAAACAATGTGGCCTGATATCATGTATCACTTCTTCATAGATGCTGCTACAGTACACAGTTTTGTTACAGCTGTTCAGTATCTCTAGGGCAATGTCAGGATGCCTTGCAGTGTGACATTGTCGCCTATTAGCGAGTGTCACTCACATCAAATTCCAGCAGTGCGTCGATCTGGCTCTGCAGAGTAGGCATGCCTTTCAGCAGCTTCTCTACTGACATGGTCCTCATCACACCCTCAGCTCTGAGACAGAAAGAAATGGAAATTGTGAGGTTTAAGCAGCAGCTCTGTAAAACAGAGCCTGGGGAGAAAGCTACTATGAACAAACCCCACTCCCTTGATTATTGGGGAAGACATGGTCTACTAACCACTGAAATGAATCCAGCCTCTGAACCTGTCACACACAAGTATCCGCCACTGTGTCTCATCTGTATTTTGTCTTTATTCTGAAGTCTATTTCTCAGTGGCAGTTTATCTAGCTAGAGGGACCTTGTGACTGCCAGCTAAATAGAGCAGTCCCATCCATAAGCATGAGTGTTACCCCTCTCTGTATTCATCTCTACATGCCAGTAAAGCAATGCACGTGGTTCAGTGCCAGGCTGGAGGTGATGGAGCCAATCCTACTCATAAACATGACCTTTGTGGCTTTGGGATATGTGCTATTCTGACTGATATGGACACCGACTTGCATAAAGTGTATATTTCTGATCTTGGGTAAGAAAAGCATGTTAAAAGATGAAAAATCAATAACAGAGCTGAATTAATCATGCAGCAAGGCCATTTGAGAAAGAGAAATAGATACTGCACCCTTTCTTGACACGGCCAAAGTCAAAAGACATCTGTCTGTAGGCGAAGGCCTTCTCGTTGAGATAGCGGCTGTAGCGTCTGATAAATGTGGACATGTCGAGGCCTGAGGACAAAATACGCATAAGCATCCACATGCACAGCTCCCAGTGCAAGAAAGACATTAGCAAAGTGTTGAAAGGTTGTATATATCAAAAATGACACCAAAGTCAGACTAGCTTTTTCCACACACTTCCAGTTATGCTAGAATCAGCTAAATGCCTGTCGCTTCAATCTTCATTCAACCTACATGTCTGTATGCAAATTATAAAAGTGAAGCTAAGAGATTTTAGCTTAGGCTAGCATAATGGCTGTAAACAGCGAGGGGAAGTTAGCATGACTGTAAAATTTAGCAATTACAACATTATTTAACATATATATGTGTTTCAAACACATATATATGTGTTATATGTGTTTCAAAAAGAAGGACAACTGATCTCTTAAGGGGCTTATGATTCCAAATCTACTCATAATAGGGCGGAGGTATCTTGTTAAAACTAATGACAGGTGGTAGGCCTCACATAGGCTTCTATGGAAAATACTTAAATAAAAGCTTCTGACTGTGGCCTGGTTAGCCAAGTCACAGATTTAATGTTTAATAAAGATGATCCAGGGAAAGTTAAGTCTGCCCTTGGCCTATAAATAATGCTTATTTCAATATACAGAGTTAAACAAGTCTTAAAATTAGCTCTAACATTAAAAGGGCATTTAAGATCTAAGTGGGGCATACCTAGCTCCATAACCCTAGCACTTAAATATTTCAAGGAGCAGGGTGTGTGCTGGAGAAGCTGTGGGCCTATATTTGTAAATCATGACATGGAAAAACCTTTTGGTTTGAAATTGTTCTGTTTTGTTTCACTTTGCGTTTTTTTTTAATCAGTTCATTTACTTTTCCATTTCCTCTTCATGTGATTTGCAGTTGAATATTTGTATTTTTTTATGGTTTTATAGAAATTGGATGCATGTAAGTTTTTATCTCTTATGTAATTATATTTCGTCTCTAATAACAAACAAAATGATACAAAATGTGTACAAATGACCAGTTTTAGTTTTACAAAGCTTGTGCCGTTAGTTATGCTACGCTAAACTTAGCACTTAGCTTTAGCTTTATATAGAGTTATCGCAATCTAAAGCTAAACTTTGTATTTGTACTACAAAGAATATGAGCTAGTGTCAGCAGCTGATGAGCTGTACTCTGTTAAGGACTAAAAGTATGAAAGCTAGTCTCATTTTGATTACAAGTAAAGACAGCTAACCAAAAGAGTAGTACAGAGCTTCTGACTTAACCTTCCTAAACCACTTTTAAAGGGATAAATTTAATGGGGATTTTGTCAGTGTAGAATCACCATAACAGTGCTTACCTCAGTAAACCCAGATTACCATAATCCTCCTGTTAAACTAATTTAGATTTTAAATAGTCTTAAAAATGGCTTTCCACATTATGTAGTTCAACTAGCAGGCAAAATGCTCATAAGAACAGCTTTTGAACCTACAATTCATCACAAAAAGACAGAAATAACGTGACTGGAACAAAATTGACTGAAAGGAACGGGGGTTACCGGAAGTGTTGCTGCTGCTTGCTTTTAAAATTCAAGTTTGTTCTGCTTTTGTATCTTCAAACATCCTAAACTGAGCTAATAGAGATGCAGAAATGGGCTGAATCAATTAGTGGTGGGATCCAGGATTACTTAAAGTTAGGGAACATGGGCAGGTGTGTCAGAAACTGGACAGAGGGAAGGGAACGCCACGCACCATGGGAGCCAGTTCTGTCCAGGAAGTTGCTGAGGTTGAACAAGGTGTTTCTAGATGCCAGGAACTGGAGGAATCTCTGCAGGAAAAGATGCACACACAAGGTTAGCGAATCATCCTAAGAGACTTCAGTAATGAACACATGGCATATTCACTGTTAATTCTATAGCTGATTATCATTTTTAAACAGATGGTTGAATCTCTAAGGAGCTGTTCGGTACAGATGCAGTAAGGCCCTCTGAGAATAGACATAAAAGGTGTGACTCTATACTTTTTTGATTTTCTTGAACAGAAAATCAGCATTGAAGGAGCAGTGCTGCAGCTTTATGAGTGGGAGGGTGTGAATATCAAGGAGAGGGCTGGGAAATAAAGTTTCATGTAATAAAGAGAAATCTGCTCAGAAAGGCTTTCTAAGGCTTTCTAAAATGCTGTAAATGTGCAAAAAAAAAGCAATATTTTACCCAACAAATAATCTAGTCCTCAAGTAAACAAAGATTTTTGGTTTGGTTTGGGTTTTGGGGTTTTTGGGGGGCTTTTCCGTGCCTGAAACAATAATTTAAAGAAGTTTGGATCCTTTGGATGAAAATAAAAAAGTAAGCTGTATCTGCTCTTGGATCTCCCTCTTTTTTATGTGCTTCCATGGAAAGTCAAAGGAGGCATCAATGACTGCAGATAAGGCATCAATCAAATCAAAGAAACCATGAAAGGAGAAGCTGGGTTGAAGTGGGTTGTAAAGCAGCTTGCAGATGGCCAGCAATTGTGGCCTGAAAGAACTTATTACTGTATATCTGTTAAAGCTCAAACAAAATGAAAATAACTGAAAATGTGAAGTTAACCAAGTCTAGAAAAAAAAAGATATTTAGATTTATTTATTTCTTATTTTATGTTTTTGTTTTTTTTAACCTGGTTATTCAGAACAACTAGTTTCCATAAGGCAAACTTTACGATTAAATCATACAGAAGTCTTGTGCCCACATTCACATCCACATCAGGCAGATTAGAGTAAAAACATGGGGAAAAAATTCCCCTCGTGACATTATGTACACACTGAGATCCATTATTAAAAGATGCATGTGCAGTGCCACAGCATCCCATTGTGGCCCATGATAAAGCAATTACACTAGTCCTTTCCTCTGACACCTGCTGTGGGGACTGCAAGGGTCAATGTTGTTATCTTCCTGTTGCTAAATCTCATCTGCTTCCTGTCAGCTCATGCCGGGAAATGCAATCCCCTACCTCATAATAATAAATAGGAAACGTTAGGGCAGAGAAAGTAATGGCTTATTCCCCAATTAGCCACAGTGTGTTTGCTTTTCTGAAGAATATTTATGTATCAGTATTTCTCTCTGCTTTGTGTCATCTGCTGTTTATTTCTACGAGTTCCCCATCAGAGCCTTCGGCTTTCTTCATGTATCAGGACAACATTTGGGTCAGGGGGTCAGGGCCAGGCCAGTCCCTCGGCTAAAGCACAACTGCCATTGAATGAATGGGATTATGAATGGGTTTTGCTGTTTCTCTTTCTTTATGGTCGGTAGTAGGGACATCCACGGCCATAGGTGAAGAAATGCTGGTGCTCTCACTGATAGTTACACTTCCAACAAACAAATAAAAATTAAGCACAAAACAAAATACAGCAATGATTTTTGGCGTCAGACATACACAAACTCATGGTGGTGTAAACAAATGTATTAAGTCCAAAGAGCAGGTAGAAGTCTAACACCTATCAAGCTCTACCGCCTCATATAAATACGAAGAAAAGCACAAACTAAACTTTATGCAGGCTGTCGATATTGACAGAGATATGTACACATGACAATAATAATGGACAATAGTGGTATCTGGATGACTCGACAGCACAAAAAAGCCAAACACTATATTTACCGAGCCAATTCATCCTCATATTCACAGAGCTTTTCGTCTGTCTGAACATATACGGTGACAAACAGATTTTCATTGCCTCTGTGCAGTTTTTTTTCACAATGTTACTCCCTTGACTGTAACTTTCATCTGTGTTAAACCTGTAAAATCCCATTTTTTCTTTCAGTTCCCCTTAAAGAGATTTGAACTTCCATTTATTTTGGCCACTTGAGGCCTATAGACACCTTATAGAGCTGACAGAAAGTACTGCATGCACTGTGCATCTTTTTCTCTGGAGTGGATCAATATTTAGATTCACACCTAAAGTTTAAAACTATTCACACACACAAAAAATGAAAATATCAGTTCACTAGGCTGGCAGAACTAAGAAAACTACTGATTCATCTTTTCTGGTTACATTTTCACAGGGAAAAACATAACTGCTGCAGATTTTACCTGTTGTTATGTCTTTATATTGCTGGATGAACTGAGATCAAAACCAAACCTACATAAACAAGGCTATTCCTGAACAACTACAGGCCTCTGTTGTGTCTGCGGGGGGGGCTAAACCCACATTAATGGCCACAAAAAGACTCAAAGTGGAAACTAAGTTTGCGTGTATTGTGATCTCACCTCATTGCCATGCACCATAAGGTGGTGTGTGGTGATCAGGGCTTTGAAAACCACCACCCAGCTGGCATTGCCAGCCCTCTCTATCAGCGTGTCGGCCATCTGGGGGACGTTCACGTTGGTTTCTTGGGTGGCCTGGATCAGGTCTGAGAAGCACAAGGGAAAGATGGAACAAGAGGTCAGTTCATGGATACTAGCAAGGGACAAAAGCAGCACAGGTACAGACTGTGCTGAAAGCCTTTTCATTTTAGGAGGTAATGGCAACTCAAACTGCTACACTGAAAGAAGGGAGATGGGCGAGAAGTGACGAATAAGAGTGCACTTGAATAAATACAATGACACTGCATCTGGCTGCTGCTACATTTCACAGTCACACTCTCACAGTTGTCACTTAAACTGACTGAACAGTTTCGCATGCAAAGCACTCACTCAAATTTAAAAACACCTTCAAATGGAAAGAGATTTTATACAACCTTTTTTCAAATGGTCTTATTCTCAGAATCATATTAAGGAGCTGCCACTTTTATAAACTAAACTGCCTTGGCCACACAACACATTGTCATCATTGAATACCATCTTTTAGGGCTATAATTAGATATTGATCTCTGTGAACTCTTATTTTGCCAATCGAGTGTCCATTTTTAGTCTGCAGCAGGCTCATCTGTGCAAGCAAGAAGAGCTTATCTGTGTGAGCAGAGCTGCGTTGGGAAGCTGCTGATTTCCATCATATTGAAATGTACTTAGATGAGCTCTTCACATTATGCCACTAGAGCCTGGTGTGAGTCACACTGGCTGCTGCTTTGTTTCGTTTCTGCAACCAGTCATTAACACCAGCAGGCAGAGCGTGGAGAGGAAGGCAGTGGAATATTCCACAGCAGAAAGACACAGAGAAGAAAATGAAGCAAGAACTGCACTTTCAATCAGACGTGTGGACCTATGGAGGGCAGTCAGTGCACCACCAGGAAGGAAAAAAAGTTTTTAGAGTTGTTAAGTAGCTCAGCGATATTAAATCATAAATTACCGATATCAATAATCCATGTTAATAATTAAATACATTTCATGATGAGGAACAAAAAAGCATAACCTTCCTGTAGAAGATATGACAATATGTCTTCAGCCTGTCATAAAATAGGCAGTCTTTAAAGTGGGCACCTTTAATTATTAGGTACTTAAATGTGATATGCAATTTAATACAAAATACTATCAAGCAAGTTCTTTTTTCATATTCCACAGCCCGGCGGACCTTCCAGCTGATGCTTTACTTTCTCAATAAAATTGATGTCTTGGAACTTCCTCATTTAGCTCGCTCTAGTGCAGAGGAGCAAGAATTAAAAGAGCAAGTTGATTTCAAAAGCAATGTTTCAAATAGCTCAACAAAAATGAACAAACAAACAAGCTGTTGCTATACAGGTCCTTCTCAAAAAATTAGCATATTGTGATAAAGTTCATTATTTTCTGTAATGTACTGATAAACATGAGACTTTCATATATTTTAGATTCGTTACACACAACTGAAGTAGTTCAAGCCTTTCATTGTTTTAATATTGATGATTTTGGCATACAGCTCATGAAAACCCAAAATTCCTATCTCAAAAAATTTGCACATTTCATCCGACCAATAAAAGAAAAGTGTTTTTAATACAAAAAAAGTCAACCTTCAAATAATTATGTTCAGTTATGCACTCAATACTTGGTCGGGAATCCTTTTGCAGAAATGACTGCTTCAATGCGGCGTGGCATGGAGGCAATCAGCCTGTGGCACTGCTGAG